AGGCTTCAGGGATGACAGTCAATGCAGAAATATCAAACATCTTCTGTCCAAATATGAACATGAAGGAAATTGAAGATATAAGTGAGATGACTGGGTACAAGAGAGGTAAGCTACCATTCAATTACCTGGGAGTGCCTATATCTCCAAAGAAACTGAATGCAGTGGACTGTGAAAAACTAATAGACAAGATCCTAATAAGAATTAAGGGATGGGTGTCCAGAAACCTATCTTATGCAGGGAGAACTCAGCTGGTGAATACTGTACTTCTGCACATGCACACCTACTGGGCATCTATCTTTATACTGCCTAAAAAATTAATGAAAGCAATAGTAGCAATATGCAGGAACTATCTATGGGATGGGAAAGTGATTACTAACAAACCACCTTTGGTAGCATGGGATGTTTTATGTAGACCAAAAGAAGAAGGAGGTCTAGGCATTTAGGAATGTGTTGCATGGAATGAAGCAGCAATTGCAAAATATGTATGGAGCATTGAACAAAAAAATGATACTTTATGGGTTAGATTGGTGAGTCATATCTATATAAAAGCGAAGGACTGGTGGCAATATAAAGCACCACAGGATAGTACATGGTACTGGAAGAAGATATGTGATATTAAAAGCAGATTTGAAGCTGGATTTGAACAACAAGGCTGGAAAGGACTGAGCAAAAAATACACTGTGAAAGAGGGATACAAATGGAGAAGAGGAGAAACACCTAAATGGCCATATGCTAGATGGATCTGGAACAGACTGAATGTGCCAAAGCATAGCTTCATAGGATGGCTGATAATGAGGAACAGACTGCTTACAAGAGATCGACTACACAAGATAGGTGCAAGCCAGGAGAAGACCTGCCTTCTATGTGGCAACCACGATGAAACAATCAAACACTTATACTTTGAATGCCAATTCTTAAGGAAAACTGTGGAGGAGCTGTGCAGCTGGCCAGGATTAAGGAGCAACAACTTAGATCAGCATAACATATGGAGGAAATTTGGAAGAAGTATCAAAGGCAGACTGTGCAGATAATTTGTGACTGCTATGATAGCAGCAGTCATGTATGAAATATGGAAAGCAAGAAATGAAGTCCTATGGAACCAAAAAGTGCCAATACCAGGGAAAATGTGGCAGAGTATCAAAGAGAATAGCAAGTATAGACTACAAATGATCAGGGATAACAGAAACAATAGAAAAGAAAAGGAATGGATAAACTTTTTGTATAGATAGTATGCCATAGAGCAAACCTACATAGTAGGGATGCATAGAAGAAAGCTAAAAATAGAATAGCTTATAGTTATAGTTGGTTACAAAATATAAATATTCTTGTCAGGTGGAGATCAATAAAATTTTTCTTTCACCCAAAAAAAAAGCTTTTGTAAATGAGGTTTGATCCTATTAAAAATAATTTTTGTTATTATTTTATAAAGTGTATTACAAAGGCCAGTGAGTCTATATTGGGTAATTGAAGACGGGTGGAAACTTTTTAGAATGAGACACAGATACGTTTTGTTCGCTATTGGAGGAAGGTATTGGTTATTGAAAACTTCATGACAAAAGGATGTGACCGAATTTGCAATATAGGACCAATATTTCTAATAGAAATAGGGACGTAGGCCATCAGGTCCTGGCACTTAGTTTTAGGGTTTGAATGAGTTTATTGCAGTGTGGATTTCCTCAATAGTAAGTGTGGTGTTGAGTGTATGATGATCGTCTGTATCTAGTATATTGTAAGGCGCAACTAAATAAGAATTGGTTGAGTAATTGTGAGTAGTTGTAAATAGAGATTTATAATAAGATTCTACCATTTCATTTATTTTTGTTTGTTCATAAATCCAGTTATCCCCTGAATCTTTTAAAGCAGTGGTTTCATCTCCATCATTGACTATACTCCTTTTATTCAAATTTATGTGATAGAGTTTTAGTATGCACGAAGTATAAGAATGGGTCAATTGGCTTTTTGGCTCTTTACAAACTTGTTTTTAGTTTTATGACCTTATATTTTTTTTCACACATGATAGATTTACTTTTACACGTAAGAGATCTGTCTTTAACACATAAGTGATCTAAAAATATTATTTTCTTAAATTCAAACTTGTAAAGGGGCATGATGTACAAATAGCACTATAAGAAAAAAAAAATCATTTGAAACTTATAGTAATAAACATGTCATAGTATTTGTGTAATTTAAAGACTTCTGATACTTGTACTCTTTGGTAAGATTACAAAAGTTTTCATTAAAGGATAAAATAAAAAGTTATGTAATATTTATTTATTTTAAAATTTAAAAAAACTATCATTCTCTTTGAAATCGACTAAGAAGATAAAGGTGTAACTTAAATAGAAATGGAGGGACTAGTTAATATGAAAGGTATAATCTATTGTCTAGTTGTACCCGTATGAAAGTTCCGTTTTAAATTTGGTGTACTTGCTTTGATTACTGAATTTTACATACAAAGTCCTTTTTGTTTGGGGGGGGAGGGGGGGCGGGGGTCCGAACATACAAAGTAATTCTCAAGTTCCAGTTCGTTAGGGGTGTACAAAGGAAATCGGCAAACCTACCAACCCGATAATCCGAGTCAAACCGAAAAAGAAAATCTGACCATAATTGGTTTGGTTTTAACAAAAGAAAGTCAAACCGAAACCAAACCAACCCGACATTACATATATAGAAATTTTAGATATATTTAATATATAAATATACTTATTGTGATGTAATTATATATAATTCTTAAACTTATTCATAATTTTATCTTTAAGGTATTATTTCAAGGTTGGACTTAGAACTTTTGAATGTTCCAATAAGTTGGGGGATTTGCATCTATACCCGCTTTTTGGGTCACGTTTTAACTTATACCCGCTTTGCAAAAAAAAATTGCTAGCGTACCCACTTTTCGCGTAAACTTCAGGCATACGGGCCTGAAGTAGCAAAAGCAATCACGCAAACTTCAGCATTCTAGTAGACGGGCCTGAAGTTGTTTGTAATTGCTGAACTTAAACATTCCACTAGCTGAAGTTTTGTTCTCTATTTGTTGAACTTTAGCATGTTTTAGCTGAAGTTTTGTTCTGGATTCAATAGTTTTGTCATAAAGCTTTTTCAAAGACTTCAGCAGAAGATGCTGAAGTTATTTAGCTCATTTGTAAAAACTTCAGCACTAAATAAGCTGATGTTTTGTCCTGGATTCATTAGTTTTGTCATAAAGCTTTTTTAAAAAATTTCAGCAGAAGATGCTGAAGTTATTTAGTTCATTAGTAAAAACTTCAACACTAAATAAGCTGAAGTTTTTGTCCTACCGTCATACTAGCTGAAGTTTTGTTCTCTATTTGTTGAACTTCAGCATGTTTTAGCTGAAGTTTTTTGCGTATACTTAGTGTTGGCTGAAATTTTTGTTTGTAATTGATGAGCTTAATTAAGCATTTTACTAGATGAAGTTTTGTTCTATATTTGCTGAACTTCAGCATGTTTTAGCTGAAGTTTTCCCTATATCTAGATATAAGTCCCAACTACCAACTATAATCTAATGTAAAGATATGCAATAGTTCTTCTTCCTCCTATCTCCCTAACAATCTGAACACCTATTGAATAAAAAACTATGAATTTAGGGATAGAAATTTAAATTCTGCAGTAGCTTTAATAATGTTAGCTTCTTGCTTCCTCGATACTGAACTTCTTTGGATGATCAATTTAGTTACTATGAGCAAATCAGCTGTAAAATATACTATAAATTACAAAAAATAAAGAGTAGAATAAAGAGTAGAAAAGAAAGGAGGAAGAAAGGAGCGCACAGTTAGCAGGAAGAAGGAGGCGCCTGAAGTTGTAAAAATTAGGGTATAGGTTAAATAATTTTAAAAATATGGGTATAGGTTAAATGGGGGCGACAAAATAGGGCGCCCCGTGCAATTTTTACCAATAAGTTTTATAGCCATTAATATGAGTAACTTAAATAATGATAACAAAAGCCCAAACAAAAGACATTCAATTCAATACTAGGAACGACAATGTATTGAATATCTATTTTTTCTTTTGCAATAATTTAGATAAAAATGCATAACCTCTTTTTATTTTTCTTTAGCGTTTAGTCATGTAATTAATACTCCCTTATTAGTCTACTTATTTTAGATGACTTAGTACTTTCAGATTTTGTTTATTTTTATTATGAGTTTTTAATTAGCAATATTTATATTACATAATTTTATTGTCTTTATTGTTGAATATTTTAGGATAATGCTATGACACATCTCATATTTTGTATTATTTTCTTACCTTATATAGTTATATCTTACTAGAATTAAAAAATAATTTTTAGCAGAAGTTATATGTTTTGTGCTACGAAGATTTTATCGGAAAAAAACCCAAAAAACCGGAAAACCCCGAAAATCCGAGAAAAACCGAGATTGGTTTGGTCTTTATATTTAATTACCTGATACAATTGGTTTGTTGGTAATTGCCAAATCCGAACCAACCCGACCTATTTACAACCCTAATTATGATTAAGCAGAGTTCACAACAGAAAGAAAACGAGTCATGACATATATTCCCTTACGTCGTTTTGAATGAATAAACACAATACGACATTGGAAATCGTCAAGAAATGTATATATATTTTCAGGTGACCTCACCTTGAGCCAAAAAGACATCGTGGACTTTTCAAAATTTTGATCTTAGCAGGAAAAAAAAATTGTGCTTAACAAAAATTAAAGTCAAAAGGAAAAGGAAAGGGGCCGAATTATCATACTTCATTAATCTATACAAACCCAAGGTATCTTAATCCCTAGATTACGTTTCAACCTTTGATTCTTATAGACTAATTAATAGTTTTCTTATTCACAGATTTTCAATTGGTTAATTAATTAAACTTTCTATGTTGTTTATGTTATCCTTCATTATTCTTTCACAAGTACTGTAGCATGAACGACTTATCACATATTTCATGTAACTTCTTCTTCCTTTTTTTTTTTTTTTTGAATATTCTTTCACCGCTTTTGTGTATAACCATAGCATACACGGTTCCAGCGTTGTATAAATTAGACTAGAATTGCAAAGAATTCGAATACCATTTTTTATAGAAAAAACTATTGTGAACAATCTAAATTAAATAACAAATTCTATATGGAAGGAGCTAATCAAACAGTTGTGATTGGTTCACAGTTCTGTTCTCCTCAACCCCTTCAACTATCCATCAAGAAGAAGGTTTACTTCTGTGCTGGCCATGGATATCAAGTTAAAGATGGTTATGGAAATTTCGTCTTCACTATTGAAAATCTTCTTGGGTTCTTTTCTAGCAAGGTTCTTGTCTTTGATGCTGCTGATATACCAATTCTCACCCTAAAAAGCAAGGTATGTACGAGATCAATATGATCAAGTTTGTTCGTATGTTCCTCATTTTCTGAGACATCAATAAACACGAGTTGATAATTTCTCGAATAAAAAAAGTCGAAAAAGAAAAAAAAAATTGAGATTTAAAATTTATAAATTAACCATATAAATTAAATCCAAAACTGGACGCAGTCTAATTGTGGCTGCAAATGTGTAGATTAAGGCTTAACTAGATGTCTCGGGGTCGACCCCCAGAAATGAAGTTGCTTTAAGTTAGGAGAAGTTCATCCTTAAAGTTAGATTTTCACGAGCGAATTCGGACTAGTCAGGCCTCAAAACCAATACCATGGATCAGATGGGAATTTTTTGTTTTTAAACAGAGTAATCTATTTTTTTCGTCATTGTTCCTTCTTATCTTTTTTTTTTTTTGCAAAGAGAAAAAACAGAAAGAGGAGATATGTGAGTTCTTAACAGGCCAACACTCAACCCATACATCCTGGACGGTCTAACCACCACTCTATAAAACATACCTTTGAGTATCAGTGGCACTCTCTTGCCACACAAGACTCCAGATGCTATCCTTGACTCCATCCACCTCATTCCAATACGGTGTGTGAGATCCTCGTCGATCTCCCCTCCCCCTTGGATAACCGACCCAAGGTACTTGAAATTGCCTCTACTTGGGATGACCTGTGATTTGAGCCTCACATCCACGTCCACTTCCCTTGACTCAGCGCTGAACTTACACTCCAGGTATTCTATCTTCGTCCTGCTCAGCTTGAAACCCTTAGACTCAAGAGCCTGTCTCCAGACCTCCAGCCTCTCGTTAACACCGGCTCGCGACTCATCAATCAAAACTATGTTATCAGCGAATAACATACACCATTACACCTCTCTTTGAATATGGTGTGTTAACGCGTCATCACCAAGCAAATAAGAATGGGCTGAGCGCAGAACCTTGGTGCAACCCCATAACAACTGGGAAATGCTCAGAGTCGCCTCCTACTGTCCTAACCCGAGTCTTAGCCCCATTATACATGTCTTTAATATCCCTAATGTAGGCAACCAGTACACCTTTAGCCTCCAAGCATCTCTAGAGAACTTCTCTAAGAACCTTGTCATATGTTTTCTCCAAATCAATGAACACCATGTGCAGATCCTTCTTTCTCTTCCTATACTGTTCCACCAGTCTCCTAATAAGGTGCATAGCGTCCATAGTAGAACGACCCGGCATGAACCCAAACTGGTTATCGGATATAGACACTGACCTCCTCACTCTCGCTTCAACCATCCTCTCCCAAACTTTTATGGTATGGCTCAGTAATTTTGATACCCCTATAATTGTTAAAAACTCTGGATATCACATTTGTTTCTTATACAACGGAACCACCGTACTCCATCTCCACTCATCTGGCATCCTCTTCGTCCTAAAAATAACATTAAACAGCCTCGTCAGCCACTCCAAGCCTGCTCTACCTACACACTTCCTAAATTCAATCAGAATTTCATCCGGCCCGGTCGCTCTGCCCTTGCTCATCTTACGCATAGCTCCCACGACCTCCTCAGTCTTGATGCGCCTGTAATACCCAAAGTCATGGTGACTCTCGGAATGTTCCAGTTCACCTAGCACAATATCTCGATCCCCTTCTTCATTAAGAAGTTTATGAAAGTAAGTCTGTCATCTCCTCTTAATCTGGGCATCTTCCATCAATACTCTACCATCTTCGTCCTTGATGCATCTCACTTGATCCAAATCCCGATCCTTCCTCTCCCTCGGATTGGCCAGCCGGAATAACTTCTTCTCCCCGCCTTTCTCCCTTACTTCCTCGTACATACGGCCATGAGCCGCAGTCTTAGCCTCCGTGACCGCCAGCTTAGCTTCCTTCCTAGCTACCTTATACCTCTCTATGCACGCTCGCCTCTCCTCCTCACTTATGCTCCCTACTAATTTTAGGTACGCCGCCTTCTACGCTTCCACTTTTCCTTGGACCACTTCATTCCACCACCAGTCTCCTTTGTACTCGTCTGAGACGCCCGCCGAGACCCCTAACACCTCTCTCGCAACCTCTCTTATACAGTCTGTTGTCGTCGACCACATAGTGCTCGCGTCCCCACTACTCCACCAGGCTCCTATAGCCGACAACCGCCCCTCCAACTCTTGGGCTTTATCCTTAGTCAAGACTCACCACTTGATTCTCGGTCGTCCTCGGACAGACCTTTTCCATCACTAAGAGCCTATGTTGTGTCGCGAGTATCTCACCCGAAATAACCTTGTAATCCTTACACAGCCTTCTGTCACACTTCCTGAAGAGGAGATAGTCAATCTGAGTCTTCACACCGCATTTGAAAAGTCACCAAATGCTCCTCCTTCTTCGTAAAGCTAGAGTTCGCAATCACCAGCCCAAATGCCTTAGCGAAGTTCAACAGCGAAGTACCTCCTCTATTCCTCTCCCCAAAATCGAAGCTTCCATGTACCTCACCATAGCCCCCAACGGTCGACCCAATATGACCATTGAAATACCCTCAATGAATAGCCTCTCATCAGGCGGGACATGGCGCACAATCTCATCTAACCCCTCCCAGAAGCGCCGTTTAACCTCTTCATCCAGGCCCGCATGCGGCGCGTAAGCGCTAACTACGTTAAGGGTGCACTCTCCAACCACCAACTTAATAGCCATCAATCTATCATTCACCCGTTTAACCTCAATCAAAACTCTCTAAGATCCCCATCCACCAAGCTACCCACTCCATTCCTACCCTTCCGGATTCCGGAGTACCAAAGCTTATAACCGTCTGCATCCCTCGCCCTCGACCCTACCCACCTAGTCTCCTGGACACACACTATATTGACCCTCCTCTTCCGGAGGATCTTTGCCAACTCTATAGACTTACCCGTCAATGTACCTACGTTCCTTGATCCAAATTAATCTTGTTTAAAAGATTATGTATGGAGAAATCATTAATCAAACTTTTACTTCTGAAACTTATCTCAAATAATAGAGTACTTGTCTTTTTAAAAAAAATTAAATTAGGGGAGGGTGGCGGGGGGGGGGGGGGTATAGGAATGGATATCACTTTAATGACCAAGGTTGAACCCTCAGGGGAGGGTGCGGGGGAGGGGGGGGGGGTAGGAAGGGGATATCACTTTAATGACGAAGGTTGAACCCTCCACCTTAACCGTAAACGAAAAGAAGCTTATCAAGTGAGCCATTCTTTAGAGGATAGGAGGGGTTAAATTAAAAAATATAAAGCTCTTATATAGTGTCAAATTATATAAAGCTCTTATATACGACGACAACAACAATAACAAACTCAGTTTGATTCTAATATTTGGGGTCTGGGGAGGGTAGTCTGTACGCAGACCTTATCTCTACCTAATGCAGGTAGAGAGGCGGTTTTCAATAGACCCCCGGCTCAGGAAACGCAAGAAGAAGAAGAGAGAAGCAAGGAAGGAAGAAAGATGGAAGAGAAAAAAGGGAGAGATAAAGGATATATGATGGATAAGCAAAAATAATCTTGGGATAAAAATTTAGTACTACTTTATCCTTGTTTGGTTACTAATTCTGAAATGAGTTATCTGAAGGTTAAAAATCGTAACGGGATAACTTATACTTGCCAGAGGATGGAATAGTAATCCCATGATAAGTTATCCGTGGATAAAACAGTAAAATTGACAATCCCAGGATTAATACAACATACCAAACAGTCAATAAAAAATAATACCAAGATAATTAATCCCAGTATAACTAAATCCAATATACTTAATCCCAGCATAACTTTTTTTTCAAACCAAATGACCCCTTAGGTATCGTTTGGTACGAGTGATAAGGGACAACTAATACCAAAACTAAAATTGAGATGATTTTATCCCACGTTTGATTGGGATAAAATCGCGGTATAACTAATTCAAATATTAGTTATCCCGGGATTGTAGTGTTATTTTTATCCATTATGATAGAATGGGATAACAATCCCCAGATAACTAATCCTGCAATATCTTGTTTCTCTACCAAATGATCCCTTAAAGACATGTCTATAACAATAAAAATATCATGACATATTCAGGATCGCAAGTTCTAAAGGTACTTTTAATATACACCAAAAGTATTTCTTTTTTCCTAAATTTCACGTCCAATTATGTAACTCCTTATAAAATGAAAAATGGAAGAAGTACAGGTTATTCAATTGCGACACACTGTGTGTGCAGTGTAATTAACATATATAAACATATTTAAATAATTCAATTACAAGCATATTATTCGAGTTGAAGGCAATGAGTAATGTCCTTGCTTCCCGGCCTCCATTTATTCTTCATCACTTGGTTTTTTCTATTTCATACCCTAAACTGATTGATCTATTTATTGTTTAAAATATTTGATTTTGGGATTTCAGATGAACAAGAACTATACTGCAGGAAGTATATTCCTAGGAAGAGACAAATTCATGGTGAAAGTGAATCCAAACGTGGATTATGCCTTCATTGTTTCACTTATAGTAATCCTCGAAGAAATCGTAAGCTCAAGCCGAAGCAGCAGTTATTCATAATGTATCGTATAATATTGTATTGTATTTTATTATATCGTTTTGATGTATATAATACTTGAATAAATTGTATTGTTTTGCAGTCATTTCATGATCATGTCATGCACCAATAATATGAAGAATAAACTTACAATATCATAAAGAAAAAGTAAAGTACGAGGTTGAATTACAATATAAAAAGTACGATAAAGGATAAAATAGGATTATTTAATATTATAAGAAAAGGCAAGATGAGAGAAAAAAATAAGGTAATGATGGGACCACATCAAATTGGTCGTTCCAAAAAGTGACACATTTCCTCGTTACGTAATGACGATTTAACGATACGATACAATAAAATTTAAGTAACAATCAAAATAAACATTGTATTGAAAATAACAATATTCAATACAACAGGTAATCCAAACAAGCTGTAATTGAGAAATGCATTATATTCTAGGACTAGCATTTTTTTCCTTTAATAATTCTTTAGTTTTTTCTCGTATTTTGATGTGAACAGGTTTTCGACCTAGCAAAATACATAAGTTACCCCTTGAACTATGGATCAAAACACTGTTACACACTTTCTGAGCACGAAAATCATCTTACACACTCAACCTTTTCAGAGTGTGTCTAATACACACCTCTTATTTCTTGACCAGTTTATAAAAATATGTGTAATGTCATGCACCAATAAGATCATGACATGTGTCATTATTAATTTTTTTAAGAGAAATATTCAAACATACTCTTATACCCCAAATTTAAAAAATCTTCTTACACCTCCATCTACTTTTGCCTTCCGTCGTTGCTACCCACCGGAAAAAAGCCATAACCACCACTTCTTAACCAACACACATAACGTAATTAAGAAAAAGATAGAGCTCTAGAGAGAGAGGCTCTGGCGACAAAACAGGCGACTAGAGAGAGAAACAGGCATGATCGCTGCCATGGCCAATCTGGCCGGCGGCCAGCCACCGGAACCGGCTGGTTAGCCCTTCTCCACCATCGCCCCAACCCCCACTGTTCCAAACAACAATCCAAAACCATTAGATTATTCGAAAATCTTAAAGCCAAGTACGTTAAATTCTGCCATGCAAGAACGTGCAGATTCTGTTGATCCAATTCCTATTCGTAGAGCTACTGTTGTCAATGGTCAACCAATGGTGAAGTTTACTGAATCAGAAGTTGAGAGAATGAATGTGATCGAGGGTCTCCAGTATGCTGTGGTTGGGAAATTCGCATATGCATGGCCAGATTTGAATGAAATTCGACGTATTGTTCCTTCTCAATGCGGAATTAAGGGAGAGTGTACCATTGGATTATTTTGTGATAGACATGTGCTTATACGTATGACATTATGGTAGGACTTCATTGATTTCACGTCGAAGGGAGCTCAGTATATTAAAGATAAATATGGGCAAGAATATCAGATTCGTCCATTGATTTATGATGTTAAGTTTAAAGTTGGAGAGGAGACTCCAATGGCAATGGCATGGATATCTTTCCCAGGTCTGTTACCTACCTATTTTGTAAAAGAATGTCTCTTTTCTCTTGCTTCAGCTGTTGGGAAACCTATGCAACAGGACATGGCAACAGCTAACAAAATGAGGCGTAGTTGTGCAAGGGTTAAAGTGCTGGTGGATTTATTGGCTGATCATCCTAGCAAGATGAGAATGGATATTGTGAATGAAGGGTCAGGAGAAATAAGGACGGAATGGGTTAATATCAAGTATGATATGATGCCCAAATATTGTAAAGAATGTAAGCTTCAAGTTCATGATAATTTTGAGTGTTGGAGACTTCATCCGGAATTATCACCTTATGATCAAGGGAAACAGGCTGCTGAAAATATTGAGGTGCAGAATAAGATACAGCAAAACCAACCTTTGATGATATTGTCTAGTGGGAAAGTAGTAGGTAATGCTCATCCAACTGGGGAACAATGGAAAGAGGTGAGGGACAATAGGGTAAAGAAATCTGGAAATCAAGTAGCTACAGGGAAGGAACTAGTTCCAGTTCATCAAAAGAGTGGCTAGCAGGTGCAAGTAGTTGGAAATATTGCTCAGAATAATTCCACATCAGTGCAACAATTGTCAGCTAATGGGAATAGTCAGCAGAACAATGATAATGGAGGAAGACAAATTGTACCAGTAGAGACAGTCCAGCAAATTCAAACTACAAACAAATTTGCAGCCTTACAAGTTGAAGATGAGTCTAATGCAGGAAATCAATTAGCTATTGTAGAAGAAGTAGATGTACAGAATACTCCTAATCAGAAGGAATTAAATCCAGCTGCTGTAGCTTTTACTCCTAAATCTACTAGAGTGGCATCATCAAAGAGAGGTAAGGAAATTAATCCCAATGCAGAAGGGATTTTATCTAAGGTGCCTACAGGCAGAGGTAAGGAGTCTACAGCACAATGGGTAAATAGAACTTTTCCAGTTCTGAATGTTATCTCCAATCAGTCCTGTCAGGATATTCCTTCTCAATCCTTAGATACAAGTGTGCTTCCTGAACAAGAGAACCTTAAGGATCGTGTGGAGTTTGTTGGAAGTAGACTATGGGATGACCAACAAGAAGAAGAATCAGATGAAGGAGAATTCCTTGAAGGGCATGAGGATGTGGAAGAGGTTCAAGAAAAGGATCTGGATGTTGAAGAACAAAGTGTGAATGGCAAGAGTGGCAGAGTTGAAGCTCAAAGTGTAGATGATGGTAACAATATTATGGCTTCACCTGATCAGCCCCTTCTGATTGAGCAACAAAATACCCCCAAATCACCCTCTAATTCTAATGTCCAATTGAGTAAGCCAATAGCTCAGACTAAAGATACAGGGGATCCAGGAGGTAGTAGCAAAGAAGTACTGCAGCAGCAATCTGAAACTAATCAGAAAGAAGTAGATATTCAGCATAATATAGCACAGGATATTCCAGCTGATGCAACAGTAGCATTAACACAGATTCAGAAGGATATGAGCAGTCCTAATCCAGAAGTGTTACAGAAGAAGAATAATGCCAAGAAACTGATCCCTAAATCTATTCAGAACCAGGTGATCACTCAAGGAAATAATGAAGAAGAGGAGTAGATGAAAGGAACTAAAGGGAGAGATATGGATGCAGAATCTACTACCCAGAACTTCATTAATGTAGCTAAGCAAGGTGATATATCTCCTAGACAGATGGAGGTAGGGAAATCAGTTGGCAGAGGTAAGAAAAAACAACCAAGGGATACTACTGGAGTGCAGGTACCAGGAGTTCAAACAAGGAGAACCTTATCTAAATCAGTTAATTGATGATGAATTCTCTAATTTGGAATATAAGGTCGGTCAACACAATGCAAGCCTTTGAATGGGTGATTACAATGGATAGACAGTATCACTATGATTTATTGCCTTGATGGAGCCTAAGCAGCAAATTAGGACTGTTGATCAATATAGGAGGAGGCTTGGTTTTGAGCAGGTAGTGGTAAATGTATCAAATAAAATATGGATCTTTATTGATCAGAAGTATGACTTTGACATCCTATTCAACATGGAGCAACAGATTACTTTGAAGATGGTTGACACTGATGATCAAAAGGAATTCATTATTACTATGGTGTATGCTAAATGCGACGCAATTGAACGAATTGAACTATGGGACACATTATACTCATTGGCTTCTGATATGTCTTTACCATGGCTAGTGGGTGGAGACTTTAATGTGATCTGGGATGAAGAAGAGAAATTTGGAGGGTTACCAGTTCACATCAATGAGATTGATGATTTTAGGCATTGTATCACCACGTGCAATCTTTTTGATCTTGGCTTTATGGGAAGTATTTTTACTTGGTGGAATGGGAGAGCTGAGGAAGACTGAATATTTAAACGGCTTGATAGATGTAGGGGCAATATGGAACCACAAAAATTCTGGCCGAGTCTGGAAATCACTCACTTACCAAAGATTGGTTCTGATCATAGCCCCTTACATCTCTCTTGCAATCCCAACAGCAGGCCAATCAAGAGGGCTTTAGATTCCTAAACTTCTGGATTAAACATGAGTCTTTCTTAGACATAGTCAAGGAAAACTGGCAGGCTGATTTTCATGCGAGCCCATTCATATTGTTCAGTCATAAGATGAAAAAGCTGAGAAAGCCTTATCTATTTGGAGTAGAGCTGCTTTTGGTGACATCTTTAAGCAGATAGCTAGTTTGGAGGAAGTGGTTAAATTGCACGAGACTCAATTTGAACTAAATCCAACCATCCAGAATCGTGAAAGACTTCAAAGAGTGCAAGCTGATTTGATTCGAGTATGGGCTCTAGAAGAAGAGTTCTGGAAACAAAAATCAGGCTTGTCTTGGTTTAAAGATGGAGATAGAAATACCAAGGTATTTCATTCTCATATGAAAGGCAAAAGAAGAAAGATGCAGCTCAAAAGAATTCAGGACAGAAACAGCTTATGGATAAAGGAGGAAGAAAAATTGGCAGAAGAGGCTGTGCATTTTTACCAATAGCAGTTTCATGAATCCAATATGCCTACAGACTTAAGGATATAGGATCATGTACCTGTGATGATGAATGAGGAGCAGAATATGGAATTAACGAGACAACCAACAATGGATGAAGTCAAGAAGGCAGTGTTTGGATTGAATGGAGATAGTGTAGGTGGACCTGATGGATTCAATGGGAACTTTTTTCATGCTTGATAGGAAATCATTGGAGAAGATGTACTTGAGATGGTGAAGGCATTTTTCTGTGGTCAGGAAATCCCTAAATTTGTGACCCATACTAATTTAGTGTTACTACCAATGTGCAGTCTTTTTCAGATTTGAGGCCAATCAGCTTGAGCAACTTCTCAAATAAAATCATCTCTAGGGTTATACATGAAAGGTTGGCTCATTTTCTTCCTAATATTATTTCTGATGAGCAGGCTGGTTTTGTTAAGGGAAGGAGTATTATTGAAAATGTACTTCTTACTCAGGAAATAATCACTGATATTAGATTAAGAACCAAAGCAGGTTCTAATGTAGTCCTAAAGCTTGATATGATGAAGGATTATGATAGACTTTCTTGGCTATTTCTCACAAAGGTTCTAAGGAAGATGGGGTTTTCTGAAAGTTTTATTGGTTTGATTTTTGGAATTGTGTCTAACAATTGGTATTAAGTTCTTGTTAATGGGCAACCACATGGTTTTTTCAAATCTACGAGAGGTGTGAAACAGGGTGATCCATTGTCACCTACATTATTCATATTGGCTGCAGAGGCAATGTCAAGAAGGCTTAATGCATTACATGATAATTTATATTTTTGTGGATTTGGTTTGCCTAAATGGAGTCCTAAGATCAACCATCTTGCATATGCCGATGACACAATTATCTTCTCATTCTCAGATGCCATTTCTCTAAGGTTGATCATGGAGGTATTGAATTCCTATGAAGCAACTTCAGGCCAACTGATCAATAAATCCAAATCTGCTGTCTATGTCCATCATTCTACAAATGATGAAGCAGTGAGAAAGATTGAGAGAATTACTGGGATAGAGAGACAGGAATTACCATTCACTTATCTTGGTTGTCCTATTTTTTACTCAAGAAGAAGAATGGATTACTACGAGGGATTAATCACTAAGGTAATGGACAAACTCCAATCATGGAAAGGGAAATTGTTATCCATTGGTGGCAAGGCAGTGTTGATCAGTAGTGTGCTTCAAAGCATGCCTATTCACTTGCTCTCGGCAGTGAATCCACCTGCTTATGTGATCAACAAGTTGCACAAAATTTTTGCGAGGTTCTTTTGGAGCAGTACTATAGAGGGCAGAGCTAGGCACTGGGCTTCTTGGGATACTCTTTGCTTGCCTAAAGAGGAATGAGGAGTAGGATTTCGATCACTACATGATATGTCCAAGGCCTTATTCTGCAAATTATGGTGGAACTTCAGGACCAAGCCATCCTTATGGAGTTCTTTTACGAGTCAAAAATATAGCAAGAAGTTGAATACCATTGTTGTACCATGGAGACGTGGATCGCATATATGGAGAAAGATGTTGGAATGTCGAGATCTTGTGGAGCATCAGATTCTGTGGAAACCAAGAATGGGATCTTTTCTTTTTTGGTTTGACAACTGGACTGGTTTGGGTCCTTTATTTTGTAACACCTCCAGAATTTATAGTTGATGAGAATATTCAAAATGTGAATGACGTTGTGGCTGAAGGACAGTGGAATGAGGAGCAAATTCGAGAAATTCTACCTGATGATCTAGCATCTCATATTCTGGATAACATACCATGCCCTGCTAACTATGATGAAATGGATAAACCTATTTGGAGTTTAGACACTAGAGGTCAATTCACAGTCAAGTCTGCCTGGGAGTATTTACGAAGAAGAAAAGATCCAGCTATTTCATATGCTAATATGTGGATGCAAGGACTGCCTTTTAAAATTTCCTTTTTTATGTGGAAGCTTTGGAAAGGGAAATTGCCGTTAGATGATGCACTAAGGAGGATGGGTTACTTTATTCCATCAAAATGCTGGTGTTGTGTATCCCGTAATGAAGAGACAGTAGGCCATGTATTCTATCATTCGTACACTGCTTCAAGAGTGTGGACCTACTTCTTTTCCTATGCTGGATTGTCTTTGGAGGGATTGAGTTTGCAGTAGGCTATAGTGAAATGCTGGACATTGAAGGTGATTTCTCGACTGAAGCCAATATTTCTAGCACTGCCTAGTATCATTGTGTGGGAGTTGTGGAAAAGGAGGAATAGCAACAAACATGGGGAGCCAGTGTCTACTAATAGGGTGGTGTATCAGGTATGCATGACAATTCAATCACTTATCAAGGTAAGGAAACCTGGGATAGCTAATGTTCCATATAGGTGGCCAGATATACTGAGAATGATGGAGAACTATAATCCTAAGTTGAAGTTCAATAAGGTGTTATGGGAATTCCCAATGTAAGGGTGGACAAAAATAAACACTGATGGGGCATCGAGGGGTAACCCAGGAAGGAGTGCAATTGGCTTCTGCTTGAGGAATAACTGTGGAGATTTATTATATGCATGTGATAAGGAGATACATGAGGTGTCAAATACACAGGCAGAAGCAAAGGCAATTCTGGAGGCATTGAAACATAGCTTGGCTGAAGGCATATCAAATATCTGGGTGCAAATAGATTCAATGTTGCTCAAGAAGGTGGTTGAAGGGGACTGGAAGCCACCTTGGATTATTGAGGAAGAAGTGATGGAGATAAGGCAGATGTTGAACATGTCCAATGGAAAAATAACACATATATTTCGAGAGGGGAACAAACTAGCGGATCACTTGGCAAATTATGATCTTGATCAGGGGTACATTGAATGTTATTCTTTCCATCAGCTGGACACTCAAGGTAAGAGGTTATTGAATGGGGATAAATTGCAATGTCCATACTTGAGGGTAAAGGTAGCAAATAATTAAGGTGCATGGAGTCAAGGAGAATGGATGTAATGGAGATAAGTTATGATCATCATGTACAAATCCTGTGGGAGGAGTACATGGTGGTGCTGGTTTTAGCTAACAAGGTTTTCTTTTTTGCAGGTCATGGTTCTGCACCTATGTCTTGCCTTTTGATGGATTTCAGATGGTGGTATTAGTGTTTTACACTCAATCCATTGAAAGGAAGTTATGGGCAAGCATAGGTGTAGTTCCCAAGCAGGTCACACTGATATTTAAAGTTTGCTTCTGCACCTGGTGGTTTCGGAAAATCAGAAGAACAGCAGGTGATTTTGGTCCCAGAATGTTTAAGCGAAATGGGAAATCTGGATCAAAGGATGCAGGCGAAGGTCAAAGTACTGCATATGGTTTGTCCTTTGATGGAAATTCATATGGTGGTATTAGTGTTATACACTCAATCCATTGAATCAAGGGCAGGAATAGATGTATTATGCAAGCAGGGCATTCTGCTACAAAGTTCATTCTGTAGCATAAGGTGTGAGTGGAAATATGAAGTAATAATAGGTAATGTTTTGCCCAGAATGTTTAAACGAAATGGGCAAGTGGGAGTAAGTGATACAGGGGAAGGTAAGGTTTGTACAAGGGGTACAGGGAGTCAGGCAATATTGGAGCTAACACAACTAGGCAGGAGTATAGAAGAGGCCAAATGCAGGAACCAATATCAGTTGTCAACACTGAAGAAGCATAGGATTGCTGGTATAGTAGTAAAGGTATCAACACTATGTTATGCCTTGTGATGAAATTGCAGATGATGATAGTAGTGCTATGCACTAAACCCATTGAAAGGGAATCAAATACACACATAGACTCTGAAGCAAAGCAGGACAGTCTGTTTTTCATATGCAGTAGCGGCTGCTGCAGGCTAAGTGTAGCAGCAATAAAAGAGAGTCTGCCCAGAATATTTAATCGAAATGGGCAAGGTGGGTTAGATGGTAATGGAAGGTGGAGCTGGAGGAGAAAAGAAATAAGAAGATAGGAGGCAGAGGAGATGAAGGAAAAGGAAATGAGAATGAGGCTTACTAGCAACATCAACACTGTCAAATCCTTCAAGAGGAGATGGTCCTGGTGTAATCTTTTCACTAACATTGTTTTCTTCTTTTTTGCAGGTACCATCAATGTACTCATGACTTGCCACTCAATACGACTTCTATGGGTGGTATTAGTACTTGGTACTCATTCCCTTGAAGAAGGAAAGGTGGCAAGCATGAGCATGACAGTAGTGCAATCTGGGAAAGCACTAGGCCTATACATGAGCAAACGAGGCATCTTGTCTCACTATAGGCACATCTCTTTAGTGCAACACCAGCATACAACATAGGAACTGTCATTGGATACAAGAAGCACAATAACAAGCAAAGGATCAGTATGCACAATTGCTACAACACATAACGCAAATGGACTACATTTACCATCAGCAGGTCTTAAGTGTCAGAATCTTGAGGGAAGTTTGAAGCGGAATAATGCTGACACCATCATGCACTAAGTCTATAGGAATCCTAAGAAAGGCAGTTGGTCACATCTGACCAAGTTCACGATAATGCACAGGTACTATTGGGCAAGACAGTCCACTTCAGAGGCTTCTACGGCCTACAATAGGGTGACAACAAGAAAATGCAGATTCTCAACACACAATAGGATGCATCAATCAACAATCACAATCATCACAGGGTCTAGAATTTTCAGAAGAAACAGCCAAGTGGCATGCACATGGGCATAAATTGGAAATATGGCCAGTTTTTTAATGTTCATTATTTTAGCCACTCCTTAGTTCAATATGTGATATTAATTTTGAGTTTAATGCTCAAGATTGATAATAGGGATTATGTAAGCACAATAGTTAGCCTTTTTCATCTTTTAGCAACATTGACATTATGTTTTTTTTAGATATATATAAAAACTAGCACTAGGCATCTCGCCTAGTGAATTTAAAAAAAAAACCAACACACAAATTTAATTTTGCAATGATTTATCCATAACAAACCCAAGACTGAAAATGGAAGAGATAAAAACTGAAATTGCAACTCCTC